AGAAAAAGAAAAAAGTAAGACACAGCATCTGAGCAGTAAAAAATAACACTTTCATAAAAAGTTAGGTATCAGTGCTCAGGATGATAAACATGAAACTGATCAGAGAGGAAAAAAAAATCAATAACCAGTGATACAGCTAATCATTAGCTAATGATAGCTGATCATTAGCCAGTGCTATTACTTGGCTAATAGCTCAGTGGTATAAGCACTTGCCTGGCAAGCACAAAGTCATGAGTTTGATCCCTGGTACCACACACACACACACACACACACACACACACACACACACACAAAGATGTTATTAATATTTGGATAATAAGTGAACAAGAATTAAAATCTTAGGTCATTTGCCTTTCTGGTAACATTAGAAGAAGGAAAGACTAAGCCTACGAAAGTTAAAGAAATTTTAAAAAGCCAACTTTAGAGACATGAGTTTAAAAGTACCAAACACACCGTCAAGTATCTATTTTGTAAAAAACATACATATACAACCACTTAGATATAAGAGTGTTTTGAAAAGTATTTAGATTTTGAAATTATTTCTTTCAATAACTGTGTCAAATTAATCAGTCTTCTGGCTTCATATTAAACAATACAATATTATAGAGGTCAATTATGTATTTTCAAATTCTTTACTTAGGCAATATGTTTTAGTATAATTATACAAAAAAAGTAACTCTTTTATGAGAAGATGACTGGGGATGTGTAATAAAATAAAAAATCTATCACACAAAAATCAAAAAAGACATAATAATGAAAACAAGGTAAGATAAGGGAAAGGAGTCCATAAAACAGATTTGCACTTCTTAACCTGGCTACCCACTAGAATCATGTTGGTATTCACACTTAATTGGTTTAAAAGGAAGCCCTTGACATAATACTCAGCCTAAAAGAAGAACCTTTGGATTAGATGTATATGGTTGAACATAAAATGCTCAGATTGGTAGTTAATTCTATTAATACAGAAAATAAAAATACAAACTAAGATAGGAACCTGATCGCCTGATATTTCTGCTTCGAAAAAAGTGCCCGATGACCAATCTCTTCAATCACTCTAATTCCTCTATACAACTTAATGTCCTGGTCAAAAGCTGAGGCCCCTCTGGGCTCTGAGGCCCTCACCTATCCTCACCAATCTCACCTCATCTAGTTGCAACAACCAAACTCAGATACTATACAACTAAACTAAACTACTGTCATCTTCCTCAAATGTACCAAATTACTTCCTTCTTTTGCATATTAGTTTTTCTGCCTAAAACAGTCTGCCCCTTTTCTTCAGTGTACCTAAATTCCTATGCTCTATTTAATCCATATATGGCTTATTCTCTATAAACTCTCCCAAGAAGTACCTGAGAAAAATCATCCACTTTCTTCTTTGTGCCATCACTGGCACAAAATTAAATAGATTTCTACAAACATCTATTTAATAATTTACATCATTTCTTTTTCTAGGTTTAATTCACTAATCTCTGAGTGCTTTGAGAGCAATAATAACCTGTGTCTTTTCCATTTTTGGTCTTTGTACCTCCCATGCTTAATTCTGAACACTAGATCATGAACTACAATACTAATAAATGTTAAAAGGGAGAGAACAGGGCTGGCCACACAGCTCAGTGGATTAAAGCACCTGCTTAGGCAGACACAGGGACTGGGGTTTGATCCCTGATGTGCCATACTGGCCCTGCCCCCGGGGAGCGCTGAGACAGAGATTGAGACTGGGTCTGGTGGCGCGTGCCTGTAATCCCAACTCTTGGGAGGCTGAAAACAGGAGAATCACTGAGTCTGATCTGTGTGAGACCCTGTAGACCCTGTACTAAATACAAAGAGAGAGAGAGAGAGAGAGAGAGAGAGAGAGAGAGAGAGAGAGAGAGATAAAAGTGGTGGAATAAACATTAGCTTTAAATTTTGAAGAGGAAAGCTAAATTCTAAGGAGAAATGGGCTCTGAGATAACCTGAACAAGGACATGACTACAAAAAGTAGCCTGTGAATGTGTCATCCTCTCTTGTATCTTACCTTTATCTCTTTCTTTCCTTCCGATTTTGATTAAGGAAGCACCAAAACAGAAAAGATAAACAGCAGTGGTAAAAGAAAACGGAGAATGGGATAGGGTTCACAGGACAATCAAAGGCTTTGATGGATTTTCATTTTTTAAATTAGGGGAACATAATCAAAATACCATTACTATACCTCACAGAACTAGAAAAAATATTCCTCAAATTCATCTGGAGCAAAAGACATCTAGAATAGCAAAGGCAATCTGGGCAAAAAAGGCAAATCAAGAGGAATCATAATCCCTGTCTTGAAATTATACTACAAAGCTACTGTGATAAAATCAGCATGGTATTGGCAAAAAAAAAAAAAAAAAGAAAGAAAGAAAGACCTGAGAACCAGTCGAACACATTAGAAGATGCAAGCACAACTACAAATACACTGAGCCACCTGACAAAGGAGTCATACATCTACACAGGAAGAAAAGTAGCCTCTTTAATAAATGGTGCTATAGAACCTCATTCTCTATCCGCCAAAAACTAAAACTAGACCCATGTCAATCACCATGCTCTAAACTAAGGTCAAAATGAACCATAGATCTAAATATTAAAACAGAAACACCAAATCTACTGGAAGAGAAAATACGTGGAAATCTTGAAGACATAAGGGGAAGGAGAGACTTCATAAAAAAACACCCAAACTACATGGTACAATCAACAAATAGGATCTCATCCTAATGAAAAGCTTTTGCATATCAAACAAAATTATGAACAAATTGAAAAGACAACCCACAGACTGGGAAAAAGTTTCAGCCAACTGTCCCTTAGTCAAATGATTTCTATCTAGAACACAAAGAATTTTTTAAAAATTCAGACTCCCAAAACGGCATTGACTCTCAGATGAATACAAATGGTAAATACATTAAAAAGTGTTCAACATCATTGATCATTGGAGAAATAGAAATTAAAACAACACTGAGCTTCCATCTCACCCCAGAAAGAATAACATCAAGAAATCAACCAATAAGAAATGCTGGAGTGGCTGTGGAGAAAAAGAAACCTTCCTCCACTGTTGGTGGCAGTGTAGACTGGTGAAATTAATGTGAAATTCAGTGTGGAAATTTCTCAGAAAGCTAGAATTAGAGGTCACATTCTACTCAGCTATTCCTCTTCTGGGTAAAGAATTAAAAACAACACACCACAGAAATTTACGTGCACCCATGTTTATAGCAGCACAATTTGTCATAGCTAAATCTTGGAAACAACCCAAATGCCCATCAACCAAAGAATGGATTAAAGATGTGGTACTTTTATACAATGGAGTACTACTTGGCCATAAAGGATAAACCTGAGATTTTTACAAATAACTTGAGACCACACTTGAAAGTGAAATAAATCAGACATGAGTAAATAGCGTATCATCCAGGTGTGAGAAACTAAAAGAGTAAATAAGTTTTCAAATATACAACAGAAATTGTGGAATGAGAAGAAACTGTTCAAACGGAAAAAGGATCTAGGATGGGAGAAAGGGGAAAGGATAGGAGAGAAAAGGGAAAAAAATGCACGTCAGTTATACTATTAGTGTCTCTTAGCTCATTAAAATGGCAGGTTTGTGCTAATATTGTTTGGAGAAAGTTTTATGCTCATAGCTTGTTCCCTGATTATACTTTGAAGATAAGAACATGTAATATATTAACTACTGTTATTCTATTATTGTTATGAAATTTTATTTTTTCCATTAAATAATAAATTAGGAAAACAGGTGATTATTAATCACTGCTATATTATTAATCCCATCGATACTTTTAATGGTGCATTATACTGTTACATTACTCTCTATTACAAGGATTAGAAATGTAAATTGTTGAAAAATAATGTATTTAAATTTAGAGATAATAAAAAATGCTATTTACCTGTGGTAACCGCACATATATATACACACATACGTGTACCTATAGGAACCTCACTAAGTTACATATGTATCGTATGTTTATAAAACTGAAGACTATTTTATTGTTCTCGTCCATCTACAGAGCAAATGAACCAAGCCATTGCATCCCCTTCACGACTCATTAAGTCCAGAACATATGTGTGCACACCAACAGTAACAAATTAGTACCACCACACAAAAATGTTTCATACATTGTGCCCGGCAAAATTAAGCTAGCTGATTTTTAAACTGATTTCATTTACTAAGTAACTATTCCTGTGAAAAGAACACCTAAAATTTGACAGTCCCTATTTTGATCTGGGTGTTGTCTTCCTTTAGAAGACCTCGCTTCTCACTCATTCTGACTCAGAACAGGCTGTACAACTTCTTGGCCCTTTGGATAGGCAGCGGCCAAGTACCTCGCAACCTGTTGTAGACTAATTACGGACACGTAACACCTTACACAAACCGAAAGCGCAGAGTTTCTTTAACGCCTATAGGAAAGAAAGAAGAAGAAAAAGGAAAGAACGAAAGCAATCAAGCAAAAGAGAGAAGAGAGAAGGCAAATACGACGTGGGGAGAGTTCGACGATGACTTCCAAAAAGAAACCCGCGCGCGTATCTCACTAGAACAAGTCGCTCGGAGTCCTACAGAGCGCGCAACACAGAGAGCGTGAAGGTGCACTCGAGGCTCCGAGCCGGCAAGGCCAAGCCGGCGGAAAACGAAAGAGTAAACAAATGAAAGAGTTTCAAGCTCGCGGGCAGACTCCTTGGCCCGAGCTAACAGGAGACGCGAGGGTGCTTCCCACGAGACGGAAAAGGCCGGCGAGGCATCGTTGGGCGCTGGCCGTTCCGCTCCCCCAAATCCCAGACCCGGTTCGGCTCCCGGGACGCAGACGCCCGGCCCGGGGGCCCGCCTCCCGCACGACTCGGCTCCGAAACACCGAGTTTCCGCCGCCCCTCCGCCGGCCACGTCCCGGCGTCTCGGGCCGCCCGGGTCCCCAGATCCCGTCCTCCGCGGTCCCCGCGGGGTCAGCCCCGCCGCCGGGACGAGGGTCGCCGCGCAGCTCCCTCCTCCTCACCTTGGTTACAGAAGAGGCTCCACAGTTTAGCGAAGATGAGCCCCATCATGAGCACCTGGCCGGGCCGCTGGCTCCCTCAGCAGCAGGTGCCGCCGAGCCGGGCCCCGCTCCGCCGCGCTGGCCGTGGGGACCGCGGAGAAGCCGACCGAGACCGCGCGGCGAGGGCACTGGCCAGCCGAGCGGCCTCGACCCACCGATTCAGCCAGCGGCAGAGCCGCGCCGTGTCGAGAGCCGACAGACAGTCCTTTGTTCCGAGCCCTCTGAGCCCAACGCCGACCCGTAGTCCCCGGGTCTGAACCCACCTACCCACCCAAGCTTCCACCAGTCCCAAGCCCCACCTCCGCCCCGCCTCCCTCTGGATCCGAAGACCGCCCATAGCCGGATGTTCGACGCATGACGTCGACGCGCTTACGTCAAACTACGCCGTGGACGTAGCGTTTCCTCCGGCCTCTCTTCCGGTGGGCGGGAAGCGCACCCGCGAGATAAGTGACTGGGTAGGGAAGTGCGGAATTTATCTTGGTCCGAGCTCCCGCTACGGTCACCCTTCACAAAGGATACAGGACTTACTTTGCTACGCTTACCAGGTTGACAACTGAGTTTCTGGTCCTTAAAAAGACATGAAGACCGCAGTTTCTGATTTAGAAGTCGCTATTTGCTGCCCTTTTAGCTGTACTGGTGTGTGTTTTTACCCCTTCCCCTCAGCTGGAGTAGAGGTCTTGGGTTCTGTCCCGATTTTTTTCTTTGTAATCATTTATTTACTTACTTACTTAGAACAGGGTCTCGCAACGCAGCTCTGACTCCTAGCTGGGTCTCGCAACGCAGCTCTGACTTCTCCTTTGGTCTCAGCCTCCCGAGAGCTTTGATTACTAGTGTGCGCCACCACGCCCGTCTCGGTATCAGTGACTGGCAAGGCGTGCCCAGGTAGTTGGGCTGGCAGGGCATGCGGTACCGGGCATCGAACCCCGGTCCTTGCACTTGCCAGGCAGGAGTTTAGATCGCCGAGCTACCTCCCCAGCCCCACTGCCGCGATTCTTAATTCTGGATAGAATTGATCGGGAGAGGAGCCAGAGAATGAATACCTGTAGCTGCGAAGTTGGAGATTAAATACACACACACACACTTTGGCCAAACATTAGGTAAGTTTCTGGATCTTAAATCTATGTTTAAATAATTGAAAGGTAACAGACAACAAAAAGCGTCAGCTGAGTGATAGAGCACTTAACTAAGCACTTAAGCGCCAAGTGGTAGAACACTTAAGCCACACACACATACACAACACACACACACACACACACACACACACACAGAGGAAGCTTCTCCCTTGGCGAGAGCTTAACTGAAGGAACAGTGAATTAGACAGTAGGATTTCAACCCTGGCCAACATAATCTAGTAACATACCAAAATACTTGCCTGTACCAGTGTGTGATGTATTTCCCACCAGTGCTAAATTTTAAAGAGCCTTTAAGACTTAGACACAGGATAATGTGCTCCAATGTAAGATATTAAAGGCAAGTTTCAACTTTGTAATACAGACTAGAGGGAATGAACTAAGCCTATGCAAATATGCTTGATTGTAAGGACCATCAGTTGGACCATAAATATAAATCATTTTATATTTGTTTAAACACAGGCTTAAAAGGACATTTCTGGTCAGCTTATTAAAAGATACTGTAACAGCCTTTGCCGTTATTAGACATACTCTTATTTTATTGGACATTCTGGCTTTCAGATTTCTAAGAAATACTGAAAAGAACAAAGTATTTGTCTTAAAAGGCGGACCTTTAAAGCAAAATATATAGATTTCCTAATTTTATGATGGCATAGTAATACTTTAGTGATAGTAAACATGAATTGTTCTTCCACTTTTATGTAAGTGCAACGCATATATTTGAGGACTGTTATTTTATTGCTTCTACTCTTTTGGAATACCTCAATTTTGCATTAGAGAAATATTAAATTTTTAATTTACTTTGTGTGTGTGTGTGTGTGTGTGTGTGTGTGTGTGTGTGTGTGTTTTAGGGAAGGATCTATAGGGTGTTCAGGGTTTCATTACTAGATCAGACTCATAGTGATCCGCCTGTTTACAGCCTCCCAAGAGCTGGGATTACAGGTGCTGGCTCCACCATGCCCAGTCTCAATTGCGGTCTCAGCGCACCGCGGGGTCGGTGCCCACACAGCAGACCCAGGGATTGAACCCCAGCCCCTGCACCTGCCTGCAAGCTCTTTAATCTGCTAAGCTATTTGTCTGGCCCTTTAATTTGCGCTTAACATCCACTAATGTTAAAAATGGGACTGCTTTTGTATGCAATAAGTAGTTTTTCTTTTCTGGACTTTTATTTTTTATTTTATTTATTTATTTTTTGAGGAACTGGGAATTGAACTCATCTTTTTTGGATTTTTTAAAAAAAATTTAAAGAATAAAAATAATTTTAAAAATTAAAAACGATAAAGAATTTCAGTTAATAAGATAGGAATTGAACAGTGGTTGTCATATTGCATATTGTTGTCTTCAAATTGTTGTCTTCAGATTGTTTAGATTACCAGATATAAGCATGCACAATTGATCAGTAGTTTTTCATGTTGAAAAGTTTATTTCTAGATTTAAAGATTTAAAATTTTTAGTAGTTAAAAAACTGGCCCCCATTAAAAAAATGAATGGTAACAATATAGTTGTGCTACTATATAGTTGTGCTACTAAAATATAAGTCAAGCTTATTACTATAAGAAAAAATTCACTTCTGCCAGCTGTGATGGCTCAAGGAGGTCTGTAATCTCAACGGAGGCAGAGGCAGGAGGAACGCTGCAAGTTCAAGGTTGGCCTGTGCTACATAGCAAGCTCAAGACCAGCCTGAATTACACAGTGAGACCCTGTATCAAAAAGAAAAGAAGAAAAAAAAAAAAAGATAATGCTATCATTGGGCTTATTTTCTTGTGTTAATTGAAAGAACTTGGGGCCAGGAGATAGCTCAGAAGAACAAGTGCTTGCACAAGGGCCTGACTTCAATCCCTAGTTCTGCCCAAAAAAAAAAGGAAGGATGGAGAGAAGAAAGAAAGAACTTCAGTGAAGATGTATACAGTAAAATATCCATTTCACAAAATATTTGAGAAAAGTGTAAATGTTGAAATTTCAAGGAAGGAAAACGTTGAACAATTCAGGGAACTTCAAAAATTTAAACTATGTCTATATTTCATTTCTAGAAACTATTACAAACAGGTAATATTTGGAAGAACTGGTCGCAGCTGGAACTGACTTCAGTTTCTTCAATCATTTTGTGCATAGGTTGGAGGGAGAGTTCAGCAGTGTGTCTTGCCAACTAGTGATTAAAGTCACTTTTTGGGGGACCAGAGAGATGGCTCAGTAGAATAAGCACTTCTCTGGCAGGTGCAAGGGCCTGAGTTCAATCCCGAGTTCCACCAAAAAAAAAAAAAAAAGTCACTTTTTTTTTAGAACTATGGATGAAAAAATTTCCTTTTAAAACTCATCAATCTTTAAGATAATCCCCATTATTAGTTTAGGCTACTTTGTCAGTTTCCAGAGGAGTTGGGATTGACAGATTTCTCATCAGGAAATTCTCTTCTGCAGTATGATCTAAAATATCAGTATAATTTTTTTGAGTAAATATCTGTTGAGATAAATATTGTTTTAGAGGGGAGATAGCTCAGTGGCTTAAGTGCTGGCCTGGCAAGCGCAAGGTCCTAAATTCAATCCCCAGTACTGCCAAAAAAAAAAAAAAAAAAAAGAAAAGAAAATATATGTATATATTGATACAAAAGAAGATATTGCATCCCTGACAGGGAGAGTATGTAGATAAAATTTATGTTATTTTGTACTCACAAAAAAGACCTATCATACTCTGAGTTTCAAAACATCTATTGGGTCAAAATAGCCTTGAGTCTGTGACTTTGGTCAAAATCAGAATGAACATCTCTTCTGCACTTGAGGGCTCAGTGTGACCTGTTTTCCCATAATTGTTTTCCCAACAGTACCACAGTGCATTCATCATTAATACCTGTAGTCCTTATGACCTGCTGATTTTCATTTTTTGCTCAGTGGAAGTCAGGGTGGCTAATAAATTTACCTGTTTGCAGAAGTTGAATTTTCCAGGTCATCTTCTCTTTAAAAATGGCTGTTTCTTACCACATTCTCTTCCCTTTGCCATAATCCTATTCACTAAAGTAGAAGCTCTTACACTTATTTCCAAATAACTCATTTAACACTTGAAGTCTTCTTTCCCTACAAACACAAATTACCTCTTTCTATACCAGAATTTGGGTTTAGTTTTTCTGTCCTGAATTGTCTTCTACTATCCTACAGTCATTCATAATATATTCTTACTATCTATCATTTATTGAGGGATGACTTTACTCCAGCACTTTTCTAAGCATATGACCTACTTTATTTACTTTTTTGATGACACTTTGAGGTCTCTATTATCTCTAACAGAGAAGGAAAATGAGGTAGAACTTTAATAATACTCCTGAGGCTGCAAGAACTGGAGTTTGAACTCTAGCAATCCTATATCAAGGTAAAGTCAAATTTTTAACAATTATAAGATACAGATCATTGCACACAAAAAAAATACTATCTATTTACTGGGTAAATATGGTATGATGGAAAGACTACTGGCTTTAGAAACCAAATTATCTTTAGCTTTTCCACCTGTAAGAACATGGAGTTATTTCAACTCTGGGAGTTTTGGTTTACTAATTACTAAAACATAATAATAACTACCTTCCAGAATATGTGACATAATGGCTGTGTTATTTTCTACAGAAATTGGTGAAGTTTTTTGTTTGTTCGTTTTTTGTCATAGAAAGGAGATATTATACTTAGAATGAAAATCCATGTGAAAATTAATGAGAAAATAAACTTACGAAAAACCTTTCTACAGTTACATGTGAGTGGTCTTGGGGCAGTACAAAACAAAGTGAGACACAAAAAACTAAGCCAAGGAGACAGGAAGGCTTTTACTTTGTTCAATCATGAAAGGACTGAATGACTTTGTTTAGGTAACGTCTTCGTTTCAACTCTTTTCCCACACCTGCTCAGGACAGATGACATCTGACAAAAAGATTATGGAAAGGGTGTACTACACTAAGTAGGCCAACAGTCATACAAAGTAGCACGCAGGCTTAGAAATACCCTGTGGGTTTTAAATTTCCCCAAGCATTCAGGCATATTAAAACACCTCTAACTGGGGCCGGGGAGATGGCTCAGTGGAATAAGCGTTTCCCTGGTAAGCCCAAGGGCCTGAGTTCAATTCCCGATTCCGGAAAAAAACCACTAACCTAACCTACTTCACCCTCTAGGTGGAAGACACCTGAAAGTGTGCAAATTGGACGCTTCACTCGGGATAGCAGTTGTCTTCCCCTCTGGTAGCGGCGACTCGCGACTGCTGATTGGTTGCCAAGGAGTAAAGGGGTGTGTCAAAGGCGCCGGAAATGACGTATAACGGAAGCGACTTTCCGCCGAACAGTTGGGGGCGCGGGTTTGGAAAGAAGAGAGGAACCTTGGAGATATTGCTGTTGATGACGTGCTTTCCCGGTGGTGTTCAGTTAACCAAAGAGCCAAACACTAGGCTGCTTCTCTGTTTCTTTCTGCAACGTTTCACCGCTTTGCAGTTTACTGTTTCCTTGAGGACCCTCAGAGGGCCAGAGCCTGGTGTGTTGGGGCGAGGAAGTTGTAATTCGGCAAAATTCGAGAAGCCACGGAGGGTTCCACGCTTTTCGTCCTTAGCTCGGCGTGACCGGCGCGATTTCTCTGGCCGCCTGGTGGTCTCGATACTGAGGGCAGCTATTCATTGTGAAGATACTGCTCTCTGCAATTTGGAAAGAAAGCCTACGCTTTTCAGCCTCTCGAACAACTCAACAGGAAAAAAAAATGCCTATTTTTCCCAAAGTATCTTTAAGACCTGAAGTTGAAAACTATCTTAAAGAGGGCTTTGTGAATAAAGAGGTAGGTCAGATAAAAATATTTAATGCTTGCGAATATTTAAATATACGTCCTAGAGAAATAGATAAGAAATGTTTACAGCCTTCGTTTATTACCGCTTGTCTATCCGAATGTGAGTACAAAATCAAGTTGTCCTTTCACAGACACAAATGCCCACTGAGATGAGTGGTGGGTAGAACCGACATTTTAACATTTAGGAGTAGGAAAGACGGAAAAATGGGCATGACAGTGAAGGAGTTTCAAGGATGGAGGGAAGAACCCTGTTCTTAACTAATACCCAGTATATAAAATACACACGTTGACGGAAATTGCTCGCTCCAGCATTGGGGTGAAAAGAAAACTGTAACTTGTTGAGTGCCTCTGTAAATGTTTTGCCAGCAGTTTTCACACTTCCTTGTTGATCGTCCTGTTCGTTTGTAGTGCAAGTTTTCATTCTAATCGTTGAAAAAAGTGAGGGCCCAAGAATCACGTAACTGATCCAAAGCAGCATAGTTATCAAGTAACTTGAAACCCGAAGATGTAAAGAAAAAGAAATTCACATTTAGAATTATAAGCACTTGATTTGTCTTCCAGGTCTTTGAGTAAAATTATTTCTTTTTTAACCTTGATTTCCTCTTCTGTGAAAATTGAGGATGGTTGAAAATACAGTTGTTTTTTTCGGTCAAATTTAAGTGAAAGTGACTTGAACACTTTTGGCCACACAAGTCTTCAAAATGTGGTGGGTTTTTTTTTGTTTGTTTGTTTTGTTTTTTTCAGTGCCAATCACAGAAGTCCTTTTTGAGTGCTGATTCTCTTTGGTTGTAAAACTTGTGTTCCATTCCACTTCACAAAGCTGTCTCTAGACAACTTTGTTTTCCCTGAAGCTTTGGTTTCTCAGTCCTTTTATGCCAAGGTATTTATTAAATGGTACTCAATTTTTTAATATATTTTTCAAGCCAGGACTTTTAGATTCTATTTCTACATTCAGCATTTGCTTACATCATTTTTGGGAAATTTGCATTTCTTTTTTTTTTTTTTTTTAATTTTTAACTTTAAAGACGAAAGAAAAACAAGAACAAAGACAAAAACAAAGCACCATGAGACAGTAAAAATGGTACAGAATTTATATTACATATGTTACCGTCAAATTTGTTGGGTAGACAATAGAAATGATACACTTAAAAAAAAAAAAACAAGATGAAAGATTTATTGGTGGTTGTTATATTGTACACTGCTGTCTAATGTAAATTCTCAGATTACAGATATTAGCATATAAAACTGGTCAAAGTAATTTAAAGCATTAGCTGATACCTTCAAAAGACTGATTTTTTTGAGAAACACTCACAGTGTAGTCTGGAGGGGCCGGGGAGATGGCTCAGTAGACTAAGCACTTGCTTGGCTAGCACAAGGACCTGAGTTCAATCCCCAGTTCCACCAAAAAAAAAAACCAAACAAAAACAAAAAACAAAAATCCCTCAAGGACCACAGTGTAGTCTGGGCTCGTCTTCAACTTGCTCTGTAGGCCAGCCAGTTTGGCCTTTAACTCAGGATACTGATGTAGCCTCATAAGGATTTATAGGCTTTCACTACTGTGCCCTGCTTCATGAGGTTTTCTTTTCTTCTTTTTTCTTTTTTTTTTCTTTTTTTTTTTTTTTTTTTTATTTAGTACAGGGTCTCACTCCATAGATCCGTCTCGTAGTGATCCACCTGTGTTCAGCTTCCCAAGAGCTGGGATTACAGGCGCACACCACCATTCCCATTCTCTATCGTATTTACATGATGCACATTGTTTTATAAATGATCTAGATGTCTTTCTTTGACTTCCACTCTTTTTCAAATCCATAAACTGTATGACTTTACAAAAAGGAAAGCCACCCCTTTGTGAAAAAGCATGGAAAGGAATAGTTAGTATTAGCTAAAACTTAAGAAAATAAATATGTACAAACTGGTCATTTAGTAGGCTGATAAGTGGTGTATAAATACCTAACACCATGCCTGACTATGCCTCATTGAGAGCAGTAATCTGAGCAACTACATTAAAGACAGCAATGTGCAATATAACAACCACGGTTGAATGTTTTTCAGATTCTGTGATTCTGTAAAGCAAGGTGTAATTCCCTAAGTTGAAAATGCATGGTTGAGCTAGATGTGGTGGCAAGTGCCTGTAATCCCAGCTCTCTGAAGGGTGAGGTAGGAGAATCACTGGAAGTTTGAGGGCAACCTGCGCTACAAAGCAAGACTGTCCTAAAAAAAAAAAAAAAAAGTTCCAGTTAGTTATATGGGAAGCTGGTTGTTTGAGTCTTTATACCTTCATTTCTGACAGGTGTTCGCTACTTAGCTTTTTATGGACCATCTGTATTTGTTACATTTTAAAAAAAAATACGTTAAAATGTTGATATATGAATATTATGTTTCAAGTGTTGGTATTTTAGGGGACCTGCCCATTAGCTCAGGTGTTTAAATACCTGCTGAAACAAAGCAATCAGGCTCAGGATGCTGTGGTTTATCCTCTCATCCTCAAGCCAAACCAGACCTGCCCAGAATGCATCCTGAGCAGCAAAAAAAAAAAAAAAAGAAAAAGAAAAACTCCTTCAAATGTTGGTGTTTGAAATGGCTCCTAATAAGTATGCTACAATTTGTGACTAGTTCTATAGAATTGCTGTGAATAGTTAACATGTAAAAATAAGTAGAATGAAATCTTGAAATTACATGAGTAAATGTAGTACATATTAAGATTTTCAAACTATTAATGCTTTGGATTTGAGGCAGTATTTTTCTATCAACCAGGCATAGTCAGACATAGAGGTAGGTATTTGTTACCACAGTTGAGTTCAAGAATCCTGTGAAGTATTACCATTTCCTTAATGTTAACTAACACAGAAATGAGAACTCCAACTTGAGCTGGAGCTGAACAGGTGTTTCATTAGATGGAACAAATGTATAGCCATCTTCTGTTGCTTATTTTCAATTTGTATGATGAAAGAAAAGCATTAACGTGTTCTTTTCATTTCAGGTTGTATCTGGATCAGGCAAAGAAGAAGCAGAAAACAAGTTTGAAACTCTGTTAAATCGCCTGTCACATCCTCCATCATTCACAACTGTTAGAGTGAACACACATTTAGCCACAGTTCAGCATGTGAAAACTCTGCTGCTTGATGAATTTCAGAAGGTTTGTGTAAATCTTTTCCTATGTTCAACTAGGCTTCTACAGCCTTAGTTCTACTTCAGTAAAATTCTATAAATCATGTATTCTAATTTTATAAATGAAGAAATTGAGAATCATAAATATTTTATTTTTCAGGGTTACTTAGTGATAATGCTAGAACTTGAAGCAAGAACTTCTAAATGTATGAAGTTTTAGGATAAATTTCTGAGTCTTCTTAGTCTTGTTTTTCATTACAGTGTACATGAAGGGGTCATTCTGAACCTGTTAATTCATAATCAGAACATAATGATGAGGGCAACTCATATAGTGTCTGGTAAGGAAGATACTTATGAGCTCTTGTGCAGTTATATTTTTAGATGAGTAATTAGAAGGTAGATATTAAAGCACCTTGTTATCTTCAATAAAATTAGGAAATAGAACAACATAAATAATTTGTTTTAAAATCTACTTACAGATTTGACTGACTTTATCAGATCCAAAAGCTACAACTCTTGTTGCATAGGTCTTGCTTTATCTTGGTCTTAACCATCCAGCAGAAAAGTATAAAAACAATATAAGAAGTAAAGCCGTGCTGTTATGTTGAGCTGTAAGGGACTCAGGTCAACAATTTCTGACACTGCCAGTGAAGTGGAACACCCAATACTATTATGGACTACTGGACACTTTTAGAATTTTTTGCTGAGTTAACACACCTATAATATTCAAATGATGGAACTAAACAAAAAAGGGTATACAGATGAATGTCCATTTTGTATCTGTGTATTCAAAATGGTTAGGATAGATATATAGTTACATTCTCTTAATGAATAGAGGGATTTGTTCTAATAGTGTTTGTAAATAGGATTTCATGTCTGCACCTTGTACAGCAAATAACCTCTAGGAAGAGAGTATGCAATGTGTTAATTATTGAAACTGACCTACCAATTTGATTTGAAACTGTCTCATTGCTATTTGTCTCTCAATAAAATTATGGAAAAAAAAAATAAAATCTATTTACAAACTGCAGAGAGCAATTGAAGGTGTGCAGGTCCAGATTTTCCTGTCTAGTAAATTACTTATAGAACTTGGGTATTCTGGTATACCAATTTGACAGGGATATAAAATCTCATGAACTAGGGTCCAAGTTAGTGAATGAGTCACACTGGGTGGTGAGTCACTCTGGGCTCTTAGTTCCTTTCCAAAGGTTAAGATTTGACAGGAAAGCCTGCGTCATGGGCACTGTGTAGGAGACTGGTAGAGCAGTTCCTTAATTTAGTAGGGAAGGAAATTTGAGAGAGTATTAGGCAATAAATCTTTGCTTCTCCATGTCCAAAGTTTAGTGTATGTCCTAAAGAAATATCCCAACTGGTATAGTATTACATGCTTTTTCCTCAGATTTGTTGGGATCACTTTTTTTTTTTTTTTTTTTAATTTTAGGGAAGAGTCTACAGACTTGTAGTGATCTGCTTATTTACAGCCTCCCAAGAACTGGGATTACAGGTGTGCACCACCATGCCCAGTCTCGGGATCATGTATTAAAAATGAAATATTAGACTTTTCATTTGTTTGGCAAGGACAGAAAGAAGCTAGAACCTTCATACCTTCTGTTTTTTAATGCAAAATAGTATGATCTCTTTGGAAAACAGTTTGGTAATTTCCTAAACGGTTAAACAAAATTGGGCAGCCCTGCAGTTCTAGTCCTATAGATCTAACAAAAAGAAATAGACATATATCCACACAAAAGAAACTTATTAGTCTGTGTTTGCTATACATGCAGCGTATGTTCATCTTGGGGAGTGTGTGTACTTGTACGTAATAAATACAATTTGATGCCTTTCACTCCCTTCCTCCCTCCTCTAAATCTCCCCATTTTGGTTGTTGATGTTATTAATCTTATGTTTATGACATATATAATGTTCACATGCATCTTAAGTCTATTGATCTCCCTTCTTTTGCTGATACTCTCTTTGACCCCTTAATAAAATAAAAGAGCCAGTCAAGAAAAGGGCAAGTGAAATGAACAGACGCTTCTCAGAGAAAGTAAGTGCATATAGCCCACAAATGCATGAAAAAAATGTTCAATGTTCCTAACAACTAAAAAAATGCAAATTAAAACAGTACTAAGAGTCCACCTTAAGCCAGAAAAAAATGTTATCATCAAGAAATAAAAAAAATAACAAATGCTGGCATGGCTGTGGTGAAAACAAACAAAAAACTTCCTACAGTGTTGATGGGTGTCTTCTTTTCTATCTTTGCTGGGACAAAAATACCCAACAGCCAAAGTTAGAATGCAAAAGGTTCGTTTAGCTCATAGTTTGTATGGATTCAGTCCACAATCCACTGGCTCCAAGGCAAGGTGGCATGGCACAGGGCAGCACTTGAAGGTGGCAGAAGCAGCAAAAGCAACAAGTGATCTTTGTCTTCTTACCCACTACCACCTCTGAACACAAGAGACTATTGGGGAACATTTTAGATACAAACCATAACACCTCAGAATCAAAGAAAATTTTGAGATATTTTGGTTTTTTACTTTCTATGGGATAAAATGAAATTGCTCAGACCAAGCTTCCTGTTGTGGTAGATAGTAACACTGACAAATTCTCTAATGTGAAATTTATCAAAAATACTGAATGCTTTATAATTCTATATGTTTATTTTTAACAGCAGTTTAATGGATTAAGTGTTCCTGTTCTTCAGCATCCTGACCTTCCAGATGTCTTACTTATTCCTGTGATTGGACCTAGGTTTGTGACCTCTGAATTTTAAAATTATGTTTTCCTTAATAAAAATGTATTACAGGATTTTTTTTAATGTTTAGTAATAGTACTGAATTCATCTGTTGCCTCATAAACAGATTCATAAGTGCAGATTTAACACTTTGTTGTGGAAAATACTATTGGAGAAGACAAGGAATGGGCCCGAGGACCTTGAGTGTAATACATTTTAGGCCTAAATAATGTAGTGGTTAGTATTTTTTCCATTTGTGAAAAGGTTTATTTCATAGTTATTTGATTTTCTTACAAGATTTCAATGTTAAATTAAATCTTTTTTGAGGCACAGTAAAACTGCAAGGGAACACATTTCCTGCTTTCATAGCTGAAGTTCATAAACTTTTGTTAATTCATCAGGTATGTTAAATTACAGTATACCAGGCACAGTTCTACTGATTTATCTATTGGTAAGCCTTATATTTGAAAATAAAAAAATATGCCTTCATATGTTAATAGGAGTTTTGTACCCAAGGAGCATTTTATTTATTTATTTATCATTTTTAATGTATTTCATTGTTTCAAGGTCTCACCACACAGCTTGGACTTGTGGCAACCCTCCTGCTTTCAGCCTCCCCAGCATTGTGATTACAGGCATGAGCCACCACGCTCAGACTCTGTGGCTGGCTCAGTCTGCCCTGGGGGTGGGGCTGGCACAGCATGTGGTGCCAGGGATCAAACCAGTCCCTGCGCTTACCTAAGCTTGTCTAAGCAGGTGCTTTAGTCTGCTGACCTATCTAGCTGGCCCCCAAGAACATTTTAAAGGTCCTAATTATGCTGTAAAATTTTTAAACTTAAGATATTATAATAAATATAAAAATGCTCATGTTGTTAAACCTGTAGTAGTCAGCAGCAGCAAAATGATTTTATTATGGTGTATCCATATATGCAGTATTCCATGGACTTTATGAATAAGAGATAATTATATGTACAATTAATATGTTCATGACTGGTTCAGTGTCAAAAACAAATTACTGTACTTAGGATAATTATAATTCTTTTGCATTAAAGCGCAACTACATATTAATTTATATTTATATACAGAAAAAGTTTAGAAGCTAAATGTACCCAGCTATTAATAGCGGTTAACTGTGAGGAGGTTGAATTGAGCGAAGGGGGATAAGTCACGTGATACTTGAGGCTAACTTTTTTTTTAGCATATGCTTGTATTATTCTCGTAATTAAATCATTGATTTTGTAGGCTTTTTCTATTAGTTTATGTATGGTGAGGTTTGTATACTCTGAAATGAAGAGCTCTTCAGTGTCGTTTGTTGAGTTTTGCCAAGGAAGGGTTGTTCGGTTAACCATGATCAGGAACCTAAGATACAGAGCATTTACATCAGCTCTAAAACTTCTCTTGTGGGGCTGGGGAGATAGCTCAGTAGAATAAGCGCTTGCCTGGCAAGTGCAAGGGCCTGAGTTCAACCCCTGGTTCTGCCAAAAAAAAAAAATAAAAAAATCTCTTGTACTCTTCTACCGTACCAGGAA